TAATAAGTGAGGTATTTCATAAATTTGGAACCCCTGAAGTAATTGTCTCCGATAACGGGAAACAATTTATCAGCAAAGAATTTGTAGACATGGTTAAGCTTTTTGGAATAAATCATACAAAGACCGCTTTTCACTCTCCTCAAGCGAATGCCTCGGAGAGAGTAAATCAATCAATTTTGTCAGCAATTCGAGCGTATTTGGGAGAAGATCACCGAGAATGGGATCGAAATTTGTCAGAGATAGAATGTTCTCTGCGATCTTCTGTACATAGTTCCATCGGAACTACCCCTTATTTTGCGCTCTTTGGAGTTAACATGATTAACCATGCCAGCCTTTACAAACTAGCCCGGAAGCTTAAACTTCTCAATGACCCCGAGACAACACTCATTCCAAACTCGGTAAAACAGGATCTTATCAGAGAAAAGATAAGAAATAGTCTGCACCAGGCATACTTGAGACATGAGAAGTCGTATAATCTTAGAAGTCGTCAGGTCAAGTTCATCCCAGGGCAAGAAGTTTTCCGAAGAAGTTTTAGGCAAAGTGTTTTTAAAAATAATTATAATGCTAAACTTGACAAGAAATTTTTCAAGTGTCGCATTGTTAAGCCAGTTGGGAAATGCCTTTATGAAGTCGAAGATCTTAAAGGGCATCCCCTCGGCGTTTTTCACGCTAAGGATTTGAAGCAATAAATGCTTACTAAATGATTAATCTAATTTTTCTTTTGGGTTTTTTTTTTGCATATATATAGCGACCGAAGTCTAAAGCATATATATATGAGGATAGCATGTGTTTTTTTTAATTAATTGAAGTTTAGTTTTTTTAAACTAAAGCGGAGATCTCAGGATGAAATACTAATCCGCAAAGTCTACACGAAAAGTATATGAAATTGAATTCTAAATCTAGCTTAACTAAAATTGCATCATTTTTCTCCAATACTCACCTGAATTTTCCAAGAGTTCCGGGAAATCCGTTCGAATTTAGTTGAAGTAATACCTGCATTGGAAAAAAAAACAAATTTCAATAGTATTATTTAAGATATAATATTAAAAGGACTAACCTGAATTACGACTTACGAAATGTCCTTTATTATTCCTAAGTTGATACAAGCTGTAGGGCAGCTTTCTCTTCATTAGTGATGTGTAGTTGAGTGTATGGGTAAGGGTTGAACCCAATTTCTCCAATTTTTAGCCATAAAAGTAAAGGAAAAAGAAGGAATTAGTGAAATGTCATGAGGTAATATGGTTGGAAAAATAAATGTAATGAAATGAACATCTCAAAAGAAAGAAAAGAAATTAGAAATGAAATGCCATACTTACAAAGGGGTTTGGCTGAAATTTTTTTATAAATTTTATGTTTATAAGAAATAGAGTTCTCATAATTTTTCTCATTTTCCAGAGCAAAATTACAAAAACTACGAAAGAGAATTAAAACTACATCTTACGTTTATCTTAGCGCCGACCGTAGTCCCACTTAGGTCTCGCTTAGAATTTTGGATGATGGTGTAGTTCGGAACCCTGTTTTTTTATTCGAACAGGCGTCCAATCTCCTAGACTCTAACAGCAGAAGTCAGAATTTCGAAGTCAGAGTACGAATCAAAGCACTCCGGGTTTGCCGACTCTAGCTGATGTCTGCGCTTTCGGAGCAGTCACGTAGTGACTGTCCTTGACCATTAGTGCAATTCCCCTTTCGCGATAGGTACCGCAGTAGCCGTTTGCTCTATGGCACGGGCCAGGGAACTGTTGTACACGAGGTCGCAGATCAGTCCGTCACTCGCCTTACGACGCTCGAGTCTGGAAGCCGGTAGACAAAAAGAAACAAATACACCTCAGTGCATTCGTAAGCCATCGTATCCGACATTCTGGCTAAAGCTGAAGGTCCAGGCGATGGTACACCTGCTGGAAGAAAAGTAGAACAGGATTGCTCGGACTTACCATCCATTGTATTTCCTGTTTTTGCAGGTCAGGCCAATTCCACCGCCTAAAGGTAATGAATGCCTGGAAAGATAAAAAAATAACTTATTAATATCTTTTGTTTATACAATTTTCAGCATTTCCATATCTACTTACCTTTTGTGAATTAGATATCCAATTCGGGCAACTTTTTGGGTTGTCTTGTGAGATTATGGAAAACTTTTCTTGGTTTCCATAGGAGGCCACTCTCCTAGACACCAACAGCAGAGGTCAGAAAGAATACGCTGGATTACGATAGAAGCATCCCAAATTTACGGACTCTAACAATATGTTAACGATTCCTGAGCAGTCAATTTATGACTGTCTTTGACCATTTGTGCACTCTTCCTTTGTATACCCATACGCATCCATGGCACAAGGCAGAAGAGTGTTGTACACAAGGTCGCAGAGCTGTCAGTCATCGAATTATGAAGATAGAGTCTGAAATCGGGAAGACAAAACCAAACACACCTAGGTATATTTGGAGTAATGTCGTATCCAACTTTCTGACCAAAGCTGGGGGTCCTAGTTGATGGTACCCCTACGGAAAAAGAAGACACCATGCTCAACTCACCTTTCTTTCAGGCTAAACTCGTGCAAAAAAATCTGTAAAGAGAAGAAAAAGAAAATAAGTATTAGTTCTGTGTCCTAACGGTGGACTATGATTTAAATTAAAACGAAGAGAGAATTTATTTATTTTTGTAATTTTTTTATTTCTTTCAATTTAATTCCGTTAAAATTTTAGAATATTTCACTTTATTCGTCACATCAAATTCACCGAAGTCCAATTTTATATAATATTTTCGGTAACTTATTCGGTGATTCACAATAATTTTTTTAATATCATTGCTTATTATTTTATTTCATTTTTACGACACTTCAATTTTTTTTTCTCTTCTTTAAAATCTTGCAAAAATTTTTTATTGCACTGAAATTTTTTTTTTCACATTTTGTTATTAAAAATAGACACAATAGTTGCTTTTTTTACGTCCGTCCGATTTATATAAGTTTTTCTATTTTTTTTTTTTTTTTTTTTCTCTGTAAAAATTTTCTTTTTTATTAAAATTTAATTTTTTATATCAAAATTCAGGATATTTCACATAATTTTTCACTTCAGTTTTACCTAAGCCAAATTCTTAAAAGAAAATTTATTTTCATTAAATTCACACTATTTTCAATTTCATTTTCATTCACTTTTCTTTTTCATTCATTGTTTAGACATTGATTCGCACAATTCTTAACTAGTAAAAATACTTTTTAATTTTTTGTTCATTTCAATTCAATTTTTCGCACTATTTGTCTTTAAAGAAAAAAATAAACACAATATTTGCACACATAATTTAGGTCTGTCTTAATTTTTCACTAGTAATTATTAATTTCCGACAATGATCATTAATTATTCCTTTTGCACTTCACTTTTCACTTTATTCGTTTTTGCAGTTTGTTTTGTTTTCACTATTTCAATTTTCTTTTCTTTTGGCAACATTATCTTTTTAATTTCATTCGCACTTATCACTCATTCCTTAATTCTATATTTTCTTTATCTGTTCCATTTTTATTCACTATTCACTCACTTCGAATTTATTTCGAACTTATTGTTTCCGCCAAAGTCACATTTTTTCTTAATGAGTGCAATTTTTCATTGTAAATGCAACTTTTACTTACACTCACACTCACACACACACACATTGAAGGGAAATCATTAATTTTTTTTTTTTGGGCTAGGAAATTAAATTAATTTCAGGAAATTAATTTTAATTGTTTCATTTAAACCACTTTATTATTATATTTCCTTGTATTCTTTTAATTTTCTTTATTATTTTCTAAGATTTATACGGATTAATTTTTCATGCAACTATTTGCCATTTACTATTATCACATACACCCGCACTGTATGTCACTGATAATTTTCATTCATTTCTTTTGCACTTAAATCACTTTAATTACACACATTATTATCACTTACCCGGCACTGGCACTTGTTTTATTAAATTATTAAATATTTCACTATAATTCTTTTCACTTTACTTACCCAAAATTTAACAATTTCTGCAGCTCCAAAATTGTCCGTCCGTCCGCGTGCTAATCCGCCAAAAATTTACAATACAATCGTACTCCGATTGTTTTCATTCATAAACATCACTACTATCGATAGTTACGTTACGTCAGACTAAACGATAACGCGTAGCGTATGACGTAAACTTTATACCAGGTTCGTATAGACGAAAATGGAGCGTTTACACTGTAATAAATAAATCAGTTCGGAATTAAATTTTATTTTGGAAAATCAGAAAATGAGTGTTAGGGATGCCAAACCACGATTGTTAGGGATGCCAAACATCGATTTTTTTTCAATTGCCGTATCATACACAATGATTTTTTTTATTATTTTTATACCGAATGTCGCACTTTTTTCCCCCTATCCTTCGATAAGGATATCAGCAGGATAGTTGGCTTTGTGGTGTGCGCCTTAAAAAGGGGTAACCATGAAAATAATTGATAGCCAGAAGAAGAAGAAGAATGTTGTCAACCATTATTAGGGAACAGCTGTTTATTCCAATGACTTAAATGTCAATAAGGGGGAATAATTTAAAAAGAAAATGGACAAATTAAACGAGGAAAATGGCAGCCAGAATTTCCTGGCAGAAATTGTAAGAAAATTCTTTCCTTTTTATCTCATCAGCGAAGAAGATTGGATGCGTGGCTCCCAGCTCCCAGCGAAGTAAAACACCCGGCATTTTTTGGCGATAAATTCCATAAGTAAAAGGAATTACATTTATTAATTTGATGTGTTCAACAAAATAAATGAAAAGAATACAAAATCCAAACCTTTTTTTTTGCTAAAAAGGCTTAAATCTTAAAACAAAATATAAATCTTAAAACAAAATATAAAATTTAAAAAGCTAAAATGTGAACATTTAAGAACTAAACCTGAAAGTATTCTTAATAGTTATACAAAAACTAAATAAACATCTTAAAGTTTGGCAAAATTTTAAACAAAATGAAAATGAATTAAAGTTTAAACAAAACAAAACTGAATTAAGTTTAAACAAAATGAAAATGAATCAAAATTAAAACAAAACGAAACTGAATTAAGCTTGAAACAAAACTTAATAAATACAAAGAAAATTAAGAAAAATCTTAAAAATTAAGTCCTGGCAGAATTTTTGGAGTAAAGAGCCACACCATCGCCCATCCAATCCATCGAGGGAGGCGCAGATTTTCCGTCACTGCTATACCAGCGTGACTTGGTATCTTCCCTATAGACGTCACTATAAACTCCGGACAGACAGACGGACGACGAGGCGACATAATTAGATTCCGCGGTTTTCCTGAAAAGAAAAGTACAATTTTTAAATAAAAAGGGGTAAACAAAAGAAGTTTAATTTAAGATTTACTCGCCTGGTGTTGCAGTGCAGGATCCCTCGTTGAATTGAGCTCATTTCGAGGTTAGGTATCCACCTTTTTTTCTCGTCGATTGTTTTTGTGGTGTCGACATACTGCCTTTTGTTTGTCCTGGCCTGGAATTGGAAAATAAATTATCATTTTTTAATCTTGAACCGGGAATGTAGTTATAAAGCTAAACTTCATACTATTACGTACTTACTCTTTGGGAAGAACCTTGTCCATTAGCTGCCGTCAGTGGTCCTAACTCTTGATACCCGCCATCGAACCCTGAAAAGGAAAAAGAAAGAGAAGGAGCCTAGAGTTGGAATTAATTTTTTTTATGGAGTTAATAATTACGTTTCCTGCTTTTTTTCATTGATTGATAGTATAAATCAATATGTAATGTACAATAGGTGTAATAAAATTGTATACTTCCAAATGAAGATGATGTCGTTGGCTTAAGGCCATTAAGAAGGTGGTAGGGATGGTTTAAACGGAGGTAAGTGAAGGGTCAAATTTGGGACGTCAGGGAGTGGTGACGTCATGGCGAGAGGTGTTCTCGGTGGGAGGGCTATCTCTTGGTCGGACAGCCGCCAAGAGAGCTGTTTCCGGAGGAAAGAATTGGGTTAAAGTGAGTTTAAGATTGAGTTTTTGGTAGACAAGTGTAGTTTTTTTGTATTTTTAGGCATGTTTCAGGCTTCTAATAATATTCCCCTTTTAGATATTCGTGCAAGCCCGGTATGATATTTTTTTTGTGTTCAACCGAAAAGGTCTTCAAGTGGCAAGAACCACCCCTCACCCGACGAGCCATAGCCGCGCTAAACGCCAGCATACCGGCAACGCCACTTAAAGCCAAATATTGCGATTTTTCGTCATCCTCGGAAAACGGTTGTTACAGATAGGAGACAATTCCAAATTTGTATGATTCGTTAAAATCAGTCCAGCGGTTCTTAAGTTATAAACGTAGTAACTAACACAACTTTCTTTTATATATATAGATGTTGACCGATATTGTACACTTTCACCCCTGGTATAGCGTTGACTCAAATATTTGTATTTGCAATATCTGGACAAAATTGGATAATCTTTTCTTATTTTATAACGAAAAATTATTTTCTATGAAATTGTTGACGTTTTGTGGGGGAGATACCAGTAGGATCGCACCGATATTGCCCACCTCCGAACTATATATTGCCCACCTCCGAACTATATAACTTTGACTATAATAATATGATGTACCAAGTTTCGAGAATTTTCGTGCGCACCAGCCAGACAGACAGACGAGCACGGCTAAATATGGACAGACTCATCTTCAAACAGTCATCTTGATATAACAAAAGTGAGTCCTTGTTTTCCACGTATCGCATATTTTGTGGTTTATGGATGCCAGTTAAGAACACGTTCTTGGGAAATTGACCAGAATTCGTAATCAAATAAGGCAATACGAGCGGACTTTTCCTTCCTATTAAAAGAAAATGCAACGCTCTTAAAGTAACCATTACGCTTTATTAAATTTACTTTTCATAACAAGTCCTGTGTCTATGGCTATTGACGTTTTCATCGTGTGACATTATTAGCCGTACGTAGAGAGTTGTATTTTCTTTGATTTTTAACTTTGCCCTACCTTGATATCATTGTACCATGGTACTTAGTACTTATGGGGTGGTGGCCCACTCGATTTGCACCGTTTTTATTTCTGAATATTGTTTAAAAATATATATTGTTTCAAAATGTTATGTAATTACGATCATTTCTTAAGAAGTTTTTCTGTTATATTTACTTCATTGGTATACATTTTTTGTTCAGTCGTCAAGGAATGCTTAGCTTTCCATTCATAGAGTTTACAATATTTTATTTAAAAAATGTTCATGTATGTGTAAAAGTATTTACAACTATAGAAGATAATATTTGTTAGGGGCGTAATTATTTCCCAAAAAAGAGATTTACATAATATATTTAGATTTACTTAACAGCTAATTTAGTTTTTACTACCATTGTCTGGTGTTATTATTGCACTGATTATTTCTACATATTGCACGATCTCTTCTTTGTCAAGTGTCGATAACAATAAACTGCATTATCGGCATCGCTTTTTTAATTGATCTTTTTGTTTGTTGGTATGTTATTTATATACAGCATCTCCAATGTTAACCTTCTGTTGTAGTTATTCTCCGTCTGTAATACTCGTATTTAGTCAAAGTTTGGTATGTGGTTGTTAGGTTTACAGTGTTCTGCAAGTGCTGTTTTTATACCCTACACCACAAGGTGGTCAGGATATTATGTCTTTGTGCATTTGTTTGTAACAGGCAAAAGGAAACGAGATAGACCCATAGTTCCTTTTGATGATCTGCATAGAAACACATTCTGAGTCGATTTATGCATGTCCGTCCGTCCGTCTGTCCATGTATTTTGTAAACAAAGTACAGTTCGCATTTATTGCCCTATCCAGATGAAATTTTGCACAGATTATTTGTTTGGCCCAAGGACGAACCCTATTGAAATTGGAGATAATCCGTAAGAATTTAGATATAGCTCCCATATATATCTTCGTGCCTTTTATTGTGCACCAAACGTGTAATATCAGCCCGAATAGTTTGCACATACAATCAAATTAGGCCTGAAAATAAGTATGCCAAATTTAATCGAAATCGGTTCAGATATAGCCATATATATATATTTCATCCGATTTGTTATTTTTGTCCTCCGCAGCCGTAACAACAATATTTGGGGAAATATAGGCAATACAGCTCAGAAATACATTGGTTAAATTTTATCGAGATCGGTTCAGATTTGGATATAACTCCCATAAATATCTTTATCCGATTATAAATTAATTATGCACCAAATGGGCAATACAAGTCCGAATTTAAAAGATACAAATGCTTCGGCATATTTAGTCCTTTGAACTTTAAATTATAATTATTATCATAGCGTGTATGATTGATTTCTCCCATAAAAACTTTTAATTGTTGTTCGGAGCTCTACTAAATTAGCAAAGTGGTGTAGGGTATCATAAAGTCGGTCCCGCCCAAATTTAAGACTTTCTTTACTGGTTTGAATATTGTTTTGGTTCCTTAATTTAATGTCTGACTTATGTCCAGATGCTCTAGTTTTTAATTTGTTTTTTGTGGTACCTATATATATTTTTCCACATTTTTCGTCTTTTGTTCCATCACATTCAATGCGATATATTACATTGTGTCTCTCAGTTAACGGAATTCTACTTTTGGTATTATAAATAAACTTCTTAGTGTATTGTTTGTCCGTGTTGCTATTTGCAGTTCATCCTTGTCATATAAATCGGAATTTTGGAATGTCTGAGATAATGCAGGAATCTAAATCATTGATTTCTAATATTTTTCAGATTTGTCCTTAGATTTCGGTATGTTATATTTATTTATTAATTTTTCATTTAATAATTTTGGACAGTATTTCTCGTATTTTGTTTTTATTAGTTTCGTGGAATTTATGGTCGCTAATATTCAATATTCTGTTTATAAGGTTTCTACCTGTGTTAATAATCATTTGTTTTGGATGTTTCGAGTGGAAATTTAATTCATTTCTATTTTATTGTCCTCTCTCATTGCGAGTGTGTCCAGGTATGGGATGAAACCATTATTCTCCTTTTCAATGGTAAATTTAATATTTTTGTTGAAATTATTGAAAGTCGTCAATGTTTCTTGTTACATTTACATTTTCCCCAACAATCATAAATAAATCGTCTACATTCTTTGCCAATATCACAGGTTTCGTCTTAAGTTTTTCCATGCAGGTGTCAAGTAGTTTCTCCATCACTATATCAGCTACAATCGAAGAAGCGGGTGAACCCATTGGTAGTCCTTTCTTTTGTTTGTATATTCTGTCCTCATATTGAAAATATCGGTTATCTTTAATACAAAACTTCAGAATACTTAAAAATAAGCTCTTTGACATATTGGTGTATTCCTTAATTTCCTTCCATCTTTCCTCCATTATTTCTAGTCCCAGGTCCACAGGTATACTTGGAAAACGGCATATTAAATTTCCACTTGAAACATCCAAAACAAATGATTCTTAACACAGGTAGAAACCTTATAAACAGAATCTATATATAAAAGAAAGTTGTGTTAGTTACTACGCTTATAACTCAAGAACCGCTGGTCTGATTTTAACGATTCAGACAAATTCGGAATTGTCTCTTGCCGGAAAAGAATAATATCCAAAAAATAGAGCAAAAATCATTTTGACTTTTGGAATGTCAATAGTAATGTTTTATTTTGCATGATTTTTTTTTTTTCATTTTGACTTACTATTTTCGAATTTTTGAATCCTAATATGCTGTATAGTATTTTTCGGGTAGTATAAATCGACAACGGACAAAACTGTTGTTTATAGACTTTATGCATTGAAAAAAACAATAGCGTGTTCAAACGTTTTTTTTTTTTCAATTTGATTAACTTTATTGGCGATTTTTTGAGAATTGGGTTACATTGAATTTTAGTACCTAATTTTGTAGTGGCGAACTGAACAGATGATTTTGAAATAATTTAACGAGGTCATAACTAAGTGAAAGAATAATTTCAATTTTAAAATCGGTAAGAAATAACAAAATAACAAGACAAAATTGTCAATGGAATCGAATGATAGCCCAGTCTATTGGCTAACTTCTTAAGGATCTTAAACATTTGCTGTAACAAATCCGCGAACAAGTTCAAGAATCATGTATGTTTTTCAATGTGAACAAATAAATGGTGGTTACTACGCCTTAACTCAAGAACGGCTTCGGAATGGTATCTTGGCCTGAAAAGGATAAAATCCAAAATATAGCGTAAAAAATACGCCAATAATTTTTTTGTGATGCATATATATTTTTTTTTAATTTTTCATAATTTTAAATATTGCATAATTTTTTTTCAATTTGACATGCTTTGTTGAAGTTTAATTACATTTTTTTTTAATTCTGAATGACGGGAAAAAATGAGATTAGTGCACAATACGATGTTAAATGGTAATCTTTCCAAACAAACTAAAATATGACCGACAAATATGTCATATCAAAACATGGACCTAATCCTTTCATTTGAATTCATTATGCGGACTATACAAAATGGTACATCGAATCGAAAATATAGTAAGAAAATAAATGATATACTCCGAAAAATTTTACTGAAACCTTCAAGTTATTTCTAAGTGAATAGTATTCGGTTAGTAGATCAAAATCCTGAAAGGGTTTAGGGTTCCCAGGTCGAACTTTTTAAGGTACATTATATAGCCCAAACCATACACAAAGGACCTCAAATATGTTCTCTCTAAACTTCGCAAAATTTGCGATAGAAAAGAGAAAATTCGAAAATATTCTTCAATCCGGAAAAATCGAGAAAAATTTTTCAATGGAATCGAATTTCAAAAGGA